TGTCATAGAGTGGCCGATGTGATATCTAAAGTAATACGAGTTTATGTCATAGAGTGGCCCATGTGATATCTGAAGTAATACGAGTTTACGTCATAGAGTGGCCCATGTGATATCTGAAGTAATACGAGTTTACGTCATAGAGTGGCCCATATGATATCTAAAGTAACACGAGTTTATGTCATAGAGTGGCCCATGTGATATCTGAAGTAATATGATTTACGTCAGAGAGTGGCCCATGTGATATCTGAAGTAATATAAGTTTATGTCATAGAGTGGCCCATGTGATATCTGAAGTAATACGAGTTTGTGTCATAGAGTTGTCCATGTGATATCTGAAGTAATACGAGTTTATGTCATAGAGTTGCCCATGTGATATCTGAATTAATACGAGTTTATGTCATAGAGTGGCCCATGTGATATCTGAAGTAAAACGAGTTTATGTCATAGAGTTGCTCATGTGATATCTGAAGTAATACAAGTTTATGTCATAGAGTGGCCCATGTGATATGTAACTCTCCAGAGTCCAATATTAATCCAAGGTACAGCTGACTTCATCTTTTGGACAAGAATGTTAACTAAATGTACAGAAGTGTAAGAACACGCACATATATATTACTTGAATAAAAATATATTATTATACTGATTATGGAAGATTAAAACGTTGGACATTCCAATTGTCACACGCATGCCTGAGTGCAATAATCATTCAATGAAAATAAGTGGCATAATCCTTCTCTTTACCTTTCCAGTTGTAGTGGTGTTATTGTTATTACCCTTTAAAACAGTTTATTAATGTCGTATTCTAACTTTAATACATTGCTTTCAGAACACCGATCTATATTAGATGCCATTATCACGTAAACAATGAAATTGAAGTAAATGTTTCAGTCAAACATGTATTTAATTAAACACTGATAACTGTTTGTTTATTAATCCTTCAGAGATGAAATACTGCCACTCTGTCTTTAAAAATCATTATATTCTACGTGATGTCAGCACATATATCACTTTAACAAGACATGTGAATTAACAATACTTTTGAATGCTATCTTACTGTATTCTTTGCTAAACAGTGTGTGTGTGTGTTTTCTTATAGTAAAGCCACATCGGGCCATCTGCTGTGTCCACCGAGGGGAATCGAACTCCTGATTTTAGTATTGTAAATCCGAAAACTTACCGCTGTCCCACGGGGGGACATGGTAAACAAAATAAATGATGAACGAATGCTCCTTCAAAGCCTTATGGTGGGTTTTAAGTTTATCATGATATTTCGAAAGAAAAGATCCTTTATGGCTGTCTTCAACATTCAGGAATACGAGCGAAACTAATCCCAGAAAACATTTAAATACAAAATTTCTACCTTTGCATCGCTGTTTGTATATCTATTTACTGCTTCCTTCCATTTTGTATTTTTCTTTGGAAAGGGGCGGGAATCCAGCCTCCTTGAAACCATCCCTCAATCCTACCCGGGTCCGCTCATGGCTTGCTAAGCTATTTGCCCTGGAGCGTATAAAGTAGTGAACCTTGGAATTTTAAAAACCAAAAAATTCAGGAACCAACTCAATGCAAATATTAACCGTATTTGTAATATAAAATAATCAATAATATGTCAAAATATTTGATCGTCTAGTATGTATTTCTATTATTTTTAGATTTATATTCTCCGTGTTTCAAATAAATTATACATTTTAAACCACAAACAACATTTTTTTATTTACTTCTAACAGGACATTGTAAACATTTAACTGCTTGCAAATATTTCGTTTGACTTACTATTAAAATTAGTTCTAACATATTTCAACAGTCGCAGAAACAAATGACTAAATATTCCAAATAGTCATTACATTTTCAAAAGCTTAGAGTGAATCGAAAATGCTTAATGAAATTTAATTTTCACTATAATATAAGCTTATTTTAATCAATTAAAAAGCCCAGAAAATATTAGAACCAACACTGTATCCTTTGTAGTTGCTCGGCAACCGCACGTAGCTTCAGCACGTGAACAAGATGTATAAGCAGTACTCAGACAATAACGGAATATCTACACAGTAAACTGTTCATTCAGATAAGCTTACGGCTCCAGTATCATCAACACGCACGTACGCAGGTTTCGTGAGTAGTTCAGCCGAACCCCCTATTTTTGTGAAGTAAAAAAGTTATGCTTTTATAGATTTTATGTGAACAGCCATGCAATTGTATAAGCTATGTTTCATTCAAAACTGCTTCCAGATTTAATATCATAACACGTATATTTTTTTACATGCCTCCAGACCCCCGTAGTTTCTCACAATGTGTTGGCTTTTGATCTCACAAATTATGAGCCTGATCACATTCGTAATCAGCGTTTGAATGAACATAATGAACGTCTAGACATCCGTTAATGTCTTAATAAATTTATAACAGCGAAGTGACTCTGTCCATTATCTAATAATGAAGATATGCATGCTATCTAACTAATTAAAACATAACACGTAGAAGACTGTTTGTTTGTTTTGAATTTCGCGCACAGCTACACGAGGGCTATCTGTGCTAGCCGTCCCTAATTTAGCACTGTAAGACTAGAGGGAAGGCAGCTAGTCATCACCACCAACCGCCAACTCTTGGGCTACTCTTTTACCAACGAATAGTGGGATTGACCGCCACATTATAACGCCCCCATGCCTGAAAGGGCGAGCATGTTTGGTGGGACGGGGATTCGAACCTGCAATTCAAACGTCCCTAACTACCTGGCCATGCCGGGCCGATCACGTAGAAAAGAACAGTTTAATAAAGTAAGACACCTAAATTTTTCCCAGTATAATCACTTATAATTACATTAAAATAAATTTCGTAGTATGCATTGCTAACGAAATTCTGCTTAATGAATGCCATAATAACTATCGTCAATCGTTAAACTGTGACGCTTTCTTTAGAGCAACGACATGCTAACATTCATGACGTCAGAAAAACACTTAGGTTCAAGAAGTCTTAATATAATATGATAAAACCATATAACCAGTGGTGGGATTCAGCCGGTTCGCACCGGTTCGTGCGAACCTGTTCTTAGAATTTAATGACCTCC